CTGGCACGGAACAGCGGACGAGGTACAGCGACGGGAGGTCAGACGACTGATCAAACCCCTTTCTGTGAACTTTATCATGACCACCTCATGGTGAAGTCGGAGTGCCATGTCCGAATCCCTGTTGCACGAGGTAAGCCTCGAGGGATATGAATCGACTAACCACGGAGATTAAGTGTCACACACGACAGAGCATGGAAGCACAATACGCGATGAGAATCTAAACGTAACTGTTTCATTCACAGTGTCCGTGAGAGTAGAAGATAACTTCGATAAGAAAAGCTAAGCCAGATGAGAGAATCATATGAACAAATGGAGTGGATGATCCTATCTTATAGCGGTCTGCAATGATAAGAACGATCATAAGGAGCGAACTAATACCAATGCCATGGTACCACGAGTTCATCATGCGTGGACACCGCCTCCGGCTACGCTCATCCACGTCGACGCAGCGAACAAGAGACGAGGTACAAGATGCGTACAAACTGGGACTGGCTCGGAAGACAAAAGCATACTCCCTTACCTCTTTTTGAAGATAATACGAATACCACGACGACGGCCGGGAACCGCAGGAGGAACTGATTCAACCAAAATGATTGCGAACATGAATGAGGGAGACGTACCGCTGACAATCGGCAATCGACGTGCACATGAATACGACATCAATAAAGAATGTTGCTAAGCGAGTGTCGTACCGCATTCCCCACGCCCAAACAAAGTCCTCCCTTGCTCATTTGTCAAAATGGGTATCCCTGCTTACAAAATTGGGTACTGAGTATCTAAGCAAGTCTGCCTCAGTGGATTAGCTTACCTCATGTACCGAGGTGATTCATGTAACAATGGGAGAGCTCCGGACCTGGACAGCACATACCAATGAGATGTATCAGAGTGGACCGAATGATAGCGGCTGCGTAAATACAGTACGAGATAGTGATTTCATACCTGGAAAGAACAGCGTCGTCGCTCGTGTAGGTCCATTCCCAAATTGATGACGACAACTATATGGTGACTAAAACATCGAAGACGCGGTGATAGCGACAGCGGGCCCAGCGGGAAATTTCCGCTAACAAATTCCGCGACGCTAATTTAAAAACGGAAAGGACATATCTCAAGTTCCGCATATAGCTAGCCAGGGCACAGCAACTTTAAATGAACGTCGCTGGGGGGAGAACGAGATCTTGCAATCGCTCCGGCGTGACGAGAAAGATGCCCTGCAATGGCTACTCGGCCAAGTCTCGTGAGTATGCTAAACGAAGCGCTCTCGTGTAAAGAGGACTTTGAGATTGATGCTGGCCACATCAAGCAAGAGCGACAAGATTCTACCGATGCTGGGTGCGACTACAAAGAGACCCTCTGGAAGTTGAAGCCTGAGGGTTGAGAGCGTCAAGATAGCTAGCAAGGGCGCTAACATAATTGAAAGCAGATCCCACATCACAACGGCGACGTCTCGGGCAAATTCCGGACCTTGAGCGCTTGGGCATTGGCGCACATGCTTGAGGAGGAGGCTGATCCAAGTTCTTGTTCTTGGCTTGCCCGCGGTTCTCTGAGTCCTGTACGTCTGAATTGCGCATGGTCATATCCATTTGCGGCTGCGCTGGCATTTGCATCCTCAGCTCGTCGAATCTTCAAACATGTTCAATTACGCCTCGACCACAGGACCCGATGAGAAGGACGGCGTAGTGAGAATTGAGCAGTGATAGTAATTCGATGCGGAGTGGTCAAGCTCAGGCGGGAAAAAGACGAGAACCGAAAGTCTCGAGCTGTAAACGTCGATCCTTCGTCCAGCACAGAGTCCGGGAATATTGTTCTTCAGGCTTCATTCATCATGTCTAGATGTCTAAAGCAAGGACGAGGCCAACATGCCCTATTGATCAATGCGTTCATGTTCCCGAAAACCTTTCGCTGAGCCGGGTGCCCTTCAGTCTGTCCTTCTGCGGCGCCCGCATGTAGTCTGGAGAGACCTTAGGCTGGTTCAAGTAGGCGAGTGGGTTGCGCTCGAGGACCACCACGGCGTCTGCCGTACTGCGACACACAGGCTTGACGCTGTTCTGGTGTTCCGAGATAGGAATCGCTGTCCACTGACGGCGTCACTACTCTGCCGGCGACGCTGCACTGTGACGACGTGTCTGCCGCACACGATGTGCGCTCAGCTGTGCGCTCGATGCCTTCGAAGGAGTTGTGGCTACTTGGCGAGGTGATCAACTCGTCCATCTCGACTCTCAGAGTCGAGCTAGCCCGTGGGGATTCGGGAAGCTGGCCACGGTTAGGACGCCACGGGCTGGAGCTGGAGCTGGACCGGGCAGCGCCTCCCCGTAGCGGTTTGTTTACTCGGACCTTTTCGAACAGAATCGCATGCGCTTCCAGAGCCGATAGAACTGACGAGGGCCCGGGATCCTGCGGCCGCCTGCCGTAAGTAGTGCCTGGAGGGAATGAGAGGGGTGTCATGGCAATGGGTAAGTCTCGATCCTCTTCTATTATATTTCTGCGCAACGGCGCGAGGGGCGAGTAAGAGCCGTTGCAGCGCAAGCACAACGTAACCCATCGATGCGGGGTGGCGGCGGAGAAGAAGTCTAGCCAGCATTGCCGCCCGGAAGCACAGTTGGCATCCCACGTTCATCTCGTGCGGGACCAAATCTTCAAGCTTCAAGGCTTCACGTCGATGGCGCTTGCTTCTGACATCTCCATTCAATTGTACTCTGCTCTGGCGTACTGGACTGTGTCCACTAATCTCTTCGCTGGGACAGTCTTTTTGTACTGTCAGCATCTGCCCCAATCTGATGACCCTTTCAGCCCCCGTGCTGTACGAGTGGACATGGTCGATTATGTCTACGTTATTATCCGTGTAGCCATACACTCTTGCTGCTTATCTGGCTGCATCTGGTCATTAGAATTCAATTGCTGTTAACTTCTCGAACCAGAGACGTGAGAACAGCGCGGCCATTAGTATTCTTCGATTGCTACACGAGGTGATACGGTTCCAACATGATACGTCTGCCTCGTGTATCTGACCACCGCGCGACTGCGGCCATCTACATGCGTTCTACATGCGAGCGTGCGCACTGAGCGCCTTCCGTAGCGGCCAGGATGATGATGATGAACATTCTGGTCTTCTGCTTTCGATCATCCCGCACGGTACATCCTCTATCTCTGACTCGCACCAACTCATTGTCGGCTTACGATGTCTGCACATTCCTCCTCCCAATCCCCCTTGTCCTCTTCTCAGGATGTTCAAATAACTTGTAAGTGCGAACTTACTGCTGAAACAGGCTGAGTTGTGCATGTCATTGACCTGATCCACCCTCTAGATGTTGAACTAACGAATTTTAAACCACTCAAATCAGCAGAATTATGGATCGGCGATCATCGACACACACTTCTTCTTCATCAGAGAGGCAAAGTTCTCCGCGCAGAGTTTGCACCAGCTCTGTGCGACCATCGTTCTCTACCTAGTCGGCATTGAACTGATCTCTGGAAGAAAGACAGTTGACTTCGCGCGAGCAGTGCCGCCTACAGATTCATCACAAGCGAGGTCTATTGTCACGCAAACCGGACGAAACCATCACCCTGAATTCTTGCGATATATTGTCGACTACAGACGATAGGGGTAAGACGATTATTCAGCATTTTTGCAAGCTTAGCTGAAATTATGTAGAATTTGTTCACGTTCATCGCGATATGCAAATTGTTTGCGGTATCAGCAGGCGAGAAACGAGGCGGGTATGTTCGATTTATGCAGAGTCTTGTCACCCGTGTGGTTGAGGTCGATGGCAGGACCCAGCAGATTGTCGAGGAGATGCATTGTCGACGCTTGAACCTACCACTGAAGAGATCCTTAGGAAGTGTCCGCGGTACGTGAAACTTGTCTTATATTCCATGAATACTGTCGGTTAAATTAGAGTGCGCTGTAGATTCCGAATTCTGGTTATTGGAAGGGTGCTTCTCGTTCTGTCTGCGAAGTTGAACCTGCCGTTGATGATACCTGTTCTCAGACTGGTGTGGGCAAGTCTTCTTTGATCCAACAGGTGTTTGGCATAAAAGAAGCGGTAAATGTGTTGCCGATTTGACCGTACGATATTCTTGACGCGCCCGCTCTTCCAGCTTGTTTCACATGATCGTCCGGGAGAAGCCAACATTGACACGGAGCTCACGTCACCTGAGAACGATCGGTTCATCCTGCATGACAGCAAAGGTTTCGAGCCTGGTGAGGAAGGGAACTACTCGACAGTGGAAACTTTTATAAAACGACGGAGGGCAATGCCCAATTTGAAGGATAAGTTACATGCCGTTTGGTAGGCCTCTACAATCCTGTATATAATGCATCCACATTGAATTTTTCTCAAAGGCTTTGTTTTGCGATGCCATATGCTGGTGGTCGGTTATTGGAAGCAGGCGTAGAAAGCTTTCTCAAATCGAGAGATCAGATTTTGGGAAATAGTTTGTAATCTCGTTCCTATTGGTTTCGCTAGGCTGATTCCTCACAGTTCCTCTCATCATTGTGTTCACCAAATATGATACGCTTTTCGGCCGTGTGCGCTACAACATGCGGAGAGCAAATGCGTCTGCACTGGTCGATGATAGCCTGGTCAAGCCTCACGTAGAGTCCGACCTACGCACGCTTTGCATCCAGCCGATTGAGCGATTGGCGGGAGTAGGCATTCCTCACATCGCGGTCTCTAGTACGTGACAATGGTATTCCAGTAATGTCTTCTCGATTGATCTGTGCTTGTTTGTCCAAGACCAGTACCAGCATAAGGACTCGCTCGTGAAATTGGTTGAGCTGACCTACAAACATGTTTCCGAGCATATTCCCGAAGAGGCATCGACCGTAACTGCAATGGCTCAACGGGTAGATCCCAAAAGCAAAGTCACGGAGTCAATCGCGTAAGTTCTAGGGGTTCACTACCCGTCGCTTTCACTCATATTGTCTCGTAGAGTCGGCAAGAAACGTTCGCTATGCCCTACCAGCGACGAACTTGGATGCTTACAAACATCTCCCAGGCTATTGGAAGGCTCTTGCGACGAGCTCAAATTTCAAAGGTCACACAATGTGGGACTGTTTTCACGTCATTCACAATGATATCATCAATGTGTGGAACTTCCATGATCCCTCTTTGGTATGTTGTTGTCCTTTGCACTGCGCTGTGTTCATCCACTGATAGCAGTAGTAGTATTTGATGAGCAAGGACTTTAGGACGCTGGTGACGAACATGGTCGCGGATGTAGAAGTTTGCTCTACGCCGAATCCAGTAACGACTCTGTAAGTCACATATGTGGTCTTGACTTTTATCGCCCTTAAAATCGTTTTCCAGCACGGGCGGCGGGTCATTCGTTGCAGCTATTACCGCTGCAGTAGGTGCCTTGGCCGGTCCTGCTGCACCAATCGTTGTACCTATTGCTGCGGGACTAGTGTTGGTTGCGTGGGTTTACACCGTATATGAGCAATCGTAAGTAGCAGCCTCATCCTTGGGTACCTCGTTTCACAGCTTTTGACTTTGCAGACGGGTGGTACAGCAGAGATTCATGGCATATATTGTGGATCTCACACACATCATGGAGATGCTGTTGATCATCACTGCTGACAACAGTCACAAACCGCTAAATCGTCGCGCTATCAAGCTCGCGTTCACATCGTACTCCGAGTCGTCCACGAGAGCTCAGGTTCATGCTGAGATCGAGAATTTTGAGGGCAACAGGGTTTTGCACGGCCGCGATGATACCTTGGAGAAGATCGAGTCCTTGATCCAGCTCACTTCGAATAGCATGCCAACTGTATTTCAAGATCATGCCCAAATTCCACCAGTAGATTTAGACCAGGACGAAGTCTGGTAGAAATTGTACACAATGTTACATAAATGACCGCGAGTTCTCGGCGGACCGAGCATGATATAGGGCGAGGTGGGCGAAGAGAGAGTACACTCATGCGTACGCTCAAGAATGCATCCTGGGAGCTGGTGCCTAATCCTCACGTTGCCTGCAATGGCTAATTCGCACTCGAACGATCTTGTGCCCAAATGTGTGTTTCGACATTACAGGCTAGATGCCCATTGGGTGCGCAAATTGTCTACTTCATGCCTTAGAAAGTAGATGGCATGGATAAAAGTCTTCCTCCGTCAATGACATGAAGACCTCCGTCCACGTACGCTCCTGCCTGCTTTCTGTGTCAATGAACGACGCCTCGTTGCACAGGGAACGATTTTTGCTTACCCTGCTTGCGAGGAATAGTACGAGGCCGCCCATATCTTCCGTATCTCCCAATCTCCCAACGGGCGTCGTTGCCCCCACACTGGCCTCGTCGACAACGCCATCGGTCATCTCTACCAATACAGATTGTTGTCATCAATGCACAAGGCATATATCAAGCGGGAGAGGATGCGCGTACCTGATGGGAACACACCAGGCACGATCACGTTGCTGCGGATCTTCCAGTCTTTCAAATAATGCGCCATCATCTTACCTAGATGCGTCGTTGCCGCCTTGCTGAGCGAGTACGACAAGCTGAACACTCCCGAGTCCCTACGGAGCGAGGCCAGACTTGAGATGGTCAGCACCTGGCTTGTCACGCCGTTCGTGCGCGCCCACTCCGACTCGTTCCCCGCATGCAGAAGCTCGAGGAACGCCACGGTACAGAACCACACCCCGGAGACGTTCACACGGAAATTGGTGTCGAACGAGCCAAAGTCCTCCGTGTTCCACAAAAGCTCCTGGTACGCAGCAATGCTCGTGTCCGCAGGCTTGGGGAGCTGAGGCTGGTGCCCCAACATCACACCCGCGTTGTTCACGAGCAGGTTGACGTGTCCGTGGCGAGATTTGATCTCCGCTGCGAGCAAGCGCAGCGAGTCACGATCAGTGACATCAGCCTGGAGTGGGATCATGTTTCCGTGCCGCTAGAACACCCAGGGGTGACAGCAGGACATGACCAAAAGATTGTTTTAGTGGACACATATTGCATGCTGACGGTTATTATTTACGCACACTACGCTCACGTACAGCCTTCTCCAGAGCCTCAAGCCTCCTCCCCACGATATAAACGATCGCGCCGTTATTCTCGAGGGCAGTAGCGATCATCAGCCCAATGCCTAGTCACCAACCATCCATCACCATCGCTGCACGTTGAAGAAAGGTAATGGTCAATGCACACCTGTTGCACCACCAGTGACAACAGCTACTAGACCCTTGACATCGAAAAGTTTCGCAGTGTCAGGGAATGTGTGCGCTTGTGACATTGTTTCGAATCCCAGTCAAAGCGCAGAGTTGACGCTACGGAGAGTGCTGAGCAGAGTGCGCAAGAGCTGGATACTGGGTCGGATATCGATATGGTGTGAGACTGAGAGTGTCGGATAATAAGTATAGGTACCATATGCCGAAGCAGCGGCAGCAAGTTTGGGAGCGGATTCTAGTGTAATGGCTCGAACATAGATAACGCACCTCGTCAGGTGCAAGGCACGAACGCATATGCCGGCGCACCATGATAGCGCACAGCTCTAGGATGGCTTGGGGTCATTGTCAGGGTGCAACTGGGTGCAGGTAGGTGCGTTGTACACGCTCAAGCTCGACCGTGATGAGGACTGTGCGGCGAGCTGGCGGCCCAAGCGTCTAACTGGCTCTATCTTGTATATTTTCTCGAGGCTCAGAATCAGTCGCGTCCTCTCCAGCTGCTGCTGACTGAAGTGTGAGTCTATATATTCCTGTTCATTTCAGAGCGATCGTTGAAACATCAGACTCGTCGCAGTCGTATCGTGCTGTCCAGATGACTGCGATATCACGGTCAGCTTGCATTCGCGTGTTACGTGACTTTTGAATCAAGAGATGTGTGTACGCATTGACTTGAAAGTGCAGTTTACGGGCCTTTCTTAACGCGTTCAGCATATGGTCTCTGTTCTCCGGGCGCGTTTTCGAGTCTGGTGCAATTTGTGGTGTCAAAGAGGGGGTGTCTGTCAAATTGCACTAGACACATGATTGCATCGCCCGGAGACGACACCACCCGGGTGGTATGCCCCAGGCCTCACCCCTGTCATATTGATTGATCTAGCACCTGGAATAGTGGAGAGAGCCTGAGGTCGGCGAATTTGTTTGTGTCAAATCAGAACATTCTACTGCGGCAATTCGTGAGTACTGATTCCGAATGTGGTCTGGGGGCCAAAGCGTGCGGTGGTCACGCAGGTTTGAGTGTCAACTCTGGGCAGTGTTGCTCAAAGGCGAAGTCTCCTGGCCGCGGAGCATGGACCTAGCGGTGTCTAGCAAATTTTCAACTATCAACGTGATCTGTAATCCTCGTACAAGAGTTGCTGTGCAAAGCTTTTGGTTTTGATGATTGCGGACACAAGGAGGTGGTTAAAAGTCGCACCGCGTCTACCCCCTGTGGTGAGAAATTTACAGCATTTGATTATAATTATGATACCTGAATAGTTTGCCATAACATTGGGAGCTATCTCGTTCTCTGCTTCGCGATGTTGATTCGAAGTATGTCCTTGGGTAACTTTGTTGAAGACGAGTGCTAGGACTAGGCGTCGTGTTTTCTTCTAGCAGTCAATATTTGTCATCTTCCCAGCATGTCAGTCTTGCGCATTGCTGATATACTCTGGACACATACAGGCTACGAAATATGAGGCTCGTGACTGCCCAGAAGCGGATAGTATGCCCCAATTCCATTTTGTATGATTGTTCCGAGGAATCAATTGTCGCTGCATATCCACGGGTGACGTTTGGCCCCGTTTCCTATAAAACTGGCGATGGAAGAGTCTGCTTCACCCAGCTCACAGGACTCCGGTCGTGTGCGCTTCGATATTCCTACTACAGGTATACAGATAACGGGCAGGTATCAATATGGCCCTCATGCAGTTCTGGAGCTCTCTGCTTATCCTCGGTACTGTCGTTTTCGCATGGAAGTATCTGGAGATTAGGAAGGCTAGGAATGCCCTGCACAACATTGCCGGCCCCCCTCCCGCATCATTTCTGAAGGGTGTGCTATTGTCTCGGCAACACAATATCCGACCACTCACTTTATGGTATAGGTAGTATTTCCCAATTTTTCTCTCGCGACAGCACGGATTTTCAGCGACGTTTGGCATTTGACTACGCACCCATTGCCAAATTGTATAGTATGTTCGGAGTGAGTACATTCTCAGGGCCCCAATATGTTATCCAATAACATTTCTCATATAGCGGCCAATGTTGTATGTCTCTGACCCGAAGGCACTGTATACGATCATGATCAAGGATGAGCCTTCATTCCCAGAGCCGGATTCATTCATTTCGTATGATCATGAAGTCCTGGCTACACATGCTGAACCTCAACTAATTCTTATTACAGGACGAACCACCTGATATTCGGACGCGGATTAGTGGCGACTTTGGGTACGAATCTCATTTCCGATATGATAGAGGGAGGGTTTGCGCTGACGCAACATGACTATCAGGCGAGACACACCGCAAGCAGCGGAAGCTACTTAACCCGGCGTTCTCTATCAATCACATGCGCCACATTATCCCGATCTTCTACAACGTGGCACACAAGGTAGTTCATAGTCTTAATCCTGATATCGAAACAGACACTTACAAACACAGAAAGCTTCGAAACGGACTCATGAAGCAAATTGTAGGCGGGACCGAGGAAGTCGACTTGCTGGAGTGGATGAGTCGTGCAGCACTTGAATTAATCGGTCAGGGTGGCCTTGGATACTCCTTTGATCCCCTGGTTGAAGATACGCACAACGAATACGGAGATGCTTTAAGAGCACTGTTGTGCGCGCGTTCTCTGCAGCAGGTCGTCCAGCACTGATCATATCGTTGCTCCTTAGCCCCAACCTGGTCAAAATTCCCATCATGCGACTGATGACTCCATACCTCATCAGACTGGGGCCCGCCGCCTTTAGGCGCTTTGTACTTAAATTCGTGCCGGACGGTGGTGTGCAGAGTCTTAGGTACATAGCTGATACCATGGATTCACAGTCTCGAGCTATATTCGAAAAGAAGAAGGCCGCTCTTCTTCAGGGCGAGGAAGCCGTCTTGCAGCAAGTGGGAGAAGGCAAGGATATCATCAGTATTCTTAGTGCGTGCAATTTTCGGCGTATATACTTGCCGTGCTGATGTTCTAGCAGTACGAGCAAATGCCTCCACCTCTGAGGTTGACAGATTACCCGAGGACCAAATCATCGCTCAGATGTCGTGCGTGTCCTGTTATTTCCCTTCTTCAATACACCATTGCTCACTTTGTCATGCAGAACCCTTGTCTTTGCCGCAACGGATACAACTTCAAATACATTGGCCCGCATTCTACAAATATTGGCAGAATTCCCTGATGTGCAGGAGAAGTTGCGTGCTGAGGTGATAGATGCACATGCAGGAGAGTCGTTGACATACGATGAACTCGACCAGCTTCCCCTACTTGATGGCGTGTGCCGCGAGACATTGCGACTGTAAGCTGATCTAATCTACCAATTGACAATAACCTGTGTGGTTGATGAGAATTCCCCCTAGTAATCCTCCTGGTGTATTCATTTCACGCGTGTGAGCAGTTCCAGCTCTGATTGATTCCAACTCTAATGCCGCTTGCTCGTCCAGCGCAAATCGTGACACGATTCTGCCCTTGGCAGAGCCCATTATAGGGGTCGACGGCAGCTTGATCAGTGAGATTCCTGTAGTCAAGGGAACGGAGGTTATTATCGGAATCCTGGGCTGCAACGCGAGAAAAGACCTTTGGGGCGAAGATGCACATGAATGGAAACCTGAGAGGTGGCTTGCCCCCCTCCCGGAGAAAGTTACAAAGAATACCATTCCTGGTGTTTATGCCAACTTGTAGGTGTCAGCCTCCGTTTTCATAAGAAGCGCTGACCTTGGGCTCTAGGATGACGTTCATTGGTGGCAAGAGAGCGTGCATGTACGTCCTTACACTGAACGTACTGCAAGAACTTATACTTACAGTAACGTAGCGGCTTCAAATTCTCTGAAATGGAGATGAGTAAGTCGGCTTCGACTCCTGTCGCAATATGACCACAGTCATTCAACTGGTGTTTACAGAGGTTGTCCTATCTGTTTTGCTCACCAACTTCACCTTCGAGTTGACGGACAAGCCCATTGTGTGGAACGCTGCAGCTGTACGCTATCCCACGGTGGGGAGGATGGACAACAAGCCTCAGATGCCGCTGAAAGTGCGGTTGTACGAAGGCGCGAAAGTGTGATTGCGGTCAGACGAGTCTCTTGCCCAGATTGGGTTTCATGCGCATGTTCCTACTTCGGCTTTGCTAACTATGCATCACTTTCCATCCTCACGTATTGAATTTCCTTTTTTTGTGATGCTTATGCAAGCATCTCATCCGCGGCAAAGCTTCAGTACGGTCATAATTCAACTCACACAGCATCGACAGTAAAGCAAGACCGTCTTACACACGTGCTCTTGGAAGCTGCGCAATCCGAATCCAGTTGGTCACTACACTGACACTAGCACAGGTGCATCCACCTCTCAAGGATAGCTCGAGTGTCTGGCTCGAGGAACGAGGGTACGGTGAAGCCTTCGGAAACTTACACCTGATCACCTAAACTGCATTCTACTCGCATTTCGGATGTGCGTAAGCCTGATGCTCTGTTGAGTTAGGTGTCCTCGTACGTTCAAAGGTTCAGAGATCCGCTTACAGCACCCTCGTATCCTAAGAGTGGCTACCAGTCAGTTTCAAAAGACCTCATGTACCATGTTGCGAGGAGCGTTCGCAGCGTCCACGCGCAAATGAACTACATTTCGTTCGGAAGATCGGCGGGGAGGCGGATTGCGATACCATCTGAGCACAGACCGGGTATCATCGTCCAATTCAGCGCTGCTCGTCGTGTCGATGCAGCATGCGTCAGACCATGCCAGTACACAGCTGGGCGCAGTCGAGAGTCGAGTCGTAGCAGTTTTCACGAATCTGTTAATCTCGACTTGGAAGAA